CCTGGAAAACCATCAAACACAACGACTGGAAAACCATCAAACACAACGACTGGAAAACCATCAAAACGACTGGAAAACCATCAAACACACCTGGAAAACCATCAAACACAACGACTGGAAAACCATCAAACACAACTGGAAAACCATCAAACACATCTCCTTGAAAACCATCAAACACATCTCCTGGAAAACATCAAACACAACGACTGGAAAACCATCAAACACAACGACTGGAAAACTATCAAACACATCTCCTGGAAAACCATCAAACACATCTCCTGGAAAACCATCAAACACATCTCCTGGAAAACCATCAAACACAACGACTGGAAAACTATCAAACACATCTCCTGGAAAACCATCAAACACATCTCCTGGAAAACCATCAAACACAACGACTGGAAAACCATCAAACACAACGACTGGAAAACCATCAAACACATCTCCTTGAAAACTATCAAACACATCTCCTGGAAAACCATCAAACACAACGACTGGAAAACCATCAAACACAACGACTGGAAAACCATCAAACACATCTCCTGGAAAACCATCAAACACATCTCCTGGAAAACCATCAAACACAACGACTGGAAAACCATCAAACACATCTCCTGGAAAACCATCAAACACATCTCCTGGAAAACCATCAAACACATCTTCTGGAAAACTATCAAACACAACGACTGGAATCTCTTATTGTGTAGACTCTCAGAAAACACCTGCAGACTCTCAGAAACACCTGGAGCCTCTCAGAAACACCTGGAGCCTCTCGGAAACATCTGGAGCCTCTCGGAAACACCTGCAGACTCTCGGAAACATCTGGAGCCTCTCGGAAACACCTGCAGACTCTCAGAAACACCTGCAGACTCACCTGTCTCAGGTCCTCCAGGAACGCTTCCACACCTGTGGGCAGCTGGATCTTCATCACCGTCAGACTGGACTCTGTGAACAACTCGTTGGGGGGAGGCTTATATCTGGAAACAATGAAAAGTGAATTTAAACTCATTTGATTTCCTTTAGCATAGTTTCTGAAGCTGTTCTGAAGAGTTCTGGACGTTGGAGCTCGTTAGCACCTGTCGGCCATCGAACAACGGTATAACGTCAGGGATCTTTTACAAATCTTGTATTAGAGTTTCCTCACTTTGCACAGGCGACCAGGTGAGGAGCAGTCATGCCGGCATCTGAGGAGAGAAGAACACATCAACTCCCACACACTCTCCATGTTTTCCAGGTTCTACAAAAAAGTTGTATTCAGAAAATGAATCTCTTAATAAAATGTTAGTCACTAAAAAATGGGTTTTATTCCAATAAAAAAGCTGTATAATGAAACTCTTTTTGCTGCTTTGCATCTTTTTCTCCCTGCAAGAATGATTTTCCAGTAAATATTTCTGGGAAATGGGGTCAAGTTGTTTTAAATCTTGACGCTCTTTAAAGACATCCAGACACATGTGTTTGAAACTCCACCGCGCATCGACTGTAAATGAAAATCAATGGTTCACGTTGACGATAAGTAATTAGTTTTTCCAATACACTCCTGAAATGAGGACATCTTATTAACCAGGTAGAACAAAATGTAAGCTATACTTTTAATGTTTACTTTTCATTCAACAATATGTTCCTAATACAATCATTACTGTTTAGTCAAAATATGATGGGGCTGCTGGTGCTTTCAGAAAACATTCACACAATGATATTTTCTATAAATAATCATCAGTTATGTGGATATAAATTCTAAGTACGTAAAGAAAAAAAATGATCTGGTAAATTCGTAAAGTTGCGCTTTACTGGTTTGGATAATTTAGCAATATCACAATCTCCAAAATGTAATAAATAAACCATAACCTGTAACATATTATATTTAAAAACCTGACCACCACGAGACGTCACAGGTACATTAACCTAGTAATCTAACACCTTACTCCATGGTTACGTTGGGTTGTTATTAACGTGGTACTGTGATTGGAATAGAGTAATAGAGTAATAGAGTAATTAGAAGTCGTACTTGTGGAGTTGTTGGGGCCCACCGCCTCGATAGTCAGGTGAAAGTTACAGTTCTGGGCCGAGGGGGTGGTCTCATAGTACACCGTCTTCAGCTGTAAGAACAATACCATGTTGTTATTCATATTTAATCAATATGGATTCTTTATCACGGATCTCATGGCTGTGAAAAACCCTTATTGAAGTTATTAGGGCCTTAAAGTTGTGAATGGTGCTTAAATCCAAATCCAGAGATATTAGTAGATATTCCCCTGGATCTAGGGAACATCTAGGGAACATCTAGGGAAGATCTAGGGAAGATCTAGGGAACATCTATGG